GAAAAATTGCACCCAAACATCTGTGTTGGGGAGGAAGTAACATGACAAAGGATTGTAGAGCTTCGGCACTAAAAGCAGAGATGGTAACGGGGACCCTTGTCTCCAGGCTGCTAAAAACCACGCAGAAATCCACAAACATTTTAAGAATGTGGCATTCAGAGCTACAAAGGTGCCAGGAAATAGTATCTTCATATCTCTGCCCTGTACCGCGAAATCCTTTAGTTGGCTCCAAGAAATGGCTCTGAAAGGGGACCAGCACTTTTCCATAGAGTCGTTTCTTAAGTTCTTATGGAACTTTGTGTTAGGACAGGCCTCTAGTTCCTTGAAAAAGCAGATTCATCACCCTAGGATGGCAGACCGGGCCAGCAGGAGCTTCTTCTGTGTTTTTGAGACTCTCCTACCTTTCTAGATGTTTCTGCAGTTTCAGGGGTCCACTGGACACCCAGGCAAATACAGTCATTTTTGTACCATTTACAAAAAAGTTATACATCTATAAAGGGAGGGGGCTTGTCACAAGGACACAGAAACCAGCTTGAAGGGGCTCTCACTGGCTGAGGGTGGCACGTATTTGAACACTAAGATGGGCCGGGCTTGGAGGATCAACCTGTAATCCCACACTTTGGGAGGCTGAGGTGAGTGGATTGCCTGAGCCCGCGGGTTTGAGAGGATTGCACACTTTGGGAGGCCAAGGCGAGTGGATTGCCTGAGCCCACGGGCAACTTGGCAAGACCTTGTCTCTACAATAAAATAAAATAAAAATTATTCAGGTGTGGTAGCGCGTGCCTGTAGTTCCAGCTACTTGGATGGCTGAGGTGGAAGGATCGTCGGAGCCCAGCAGGTTGATTCTGGGGTGGCCGAGAGTGTGCCACTGCACTTCAGCCTGGAAGACAGAGTGAGACTCCAACTCAACAACAACACAAAACAAAACAAGAACATTAAGATAATGTAGTACTTTGTGAATTATAAGTCATTAAAGATAGGAATTAATGAATCCATGCTAATCATACTAATAGATAGATGAAAGAGAGAGAGGAGAAGGGAAGCTCTAGCTACTAGATTTTCAAGGCCAACAAGGAACTGTGCGACAGAAGCACTAGAGTTCGAAAATCACATTTCAAAACCATCCTGGTAAAAACTGGATCACATAAGGATCACCCGTGCATGGGAACTCTAGGAAAAAAAATTGACGAGGAGCAGAATATTTGCATCAACTTAAAGTATATCTTCTCAGGCTGCTCATTACAAAGGGTGCCAAAAAAAGTATACACCTTTTAAGTAGGACATTCGCTCAAAAGATGGCCTGAATCAATTGAATGCTAGCGTCACCATATGACAGGCAGAACAGAGAAAATGGTGCAAGCACAATTGAGGGAATATCATACTACACTTTACTACCATAATTTAATTTAACTTCTAAAACATTTCTTAAAATGTGTAAACATTTTTTTGGCACCCCTGTATTTGCGAGGAAGGGGAAAAAACCCCACAAAAACAGCAGCGATGGGGGCCATGTCTTCACCAGGTGATCAAAATTACTATCACCCAGAAGGAACACCCTGAGACGCGCACGACATCACCTGCATAGCACATCAGCCAAAAATGTACAATGTCAGTCTATGCACCAGGAAGCATCAGACAACTACCTCCTCCCCGGCCCCAGGAGGAACATTCTTCAAAAATGTGGATGTCATGACAGAGTAAGAACGCTGTGGGATGTTTCAGATTAAGGATGGTCCAAGAGATAAGGCTGCTCTGTGCCATACCCAATTCTAGATGGGATTATGTGGTGGAGGGAAACAGTAGCATAAGGGAAGTGATTAGATCAGCTGATAAAGCTGGAGCATGGAAGCAGACGAAAAGTATTTTGTCAATGCCTATATGGGACGTCAACAGTTGCACTGTGGGTATGCAGGAGAATATTGCTATTTTTAGAAAACATGTCCTAATGTATTTAGGGGTGTAGGGCCATGTTTTATGTAACTTACCTTTTTTTTTTTTTGAGTCAGAGTCTCACTCCATCGCCCAGGCGGGAGTGCAGTTGCACACTCACGGCCACCCCAGCGTTGACCTGCTGGTCTCCGGCAATCCTTCCGCCTCAGCTTTCCAAGTAGTCGGAGCTACAGGTGTGCGCTGCCACGTCTGGCTAATTTTTGATTTATGGTAGAGACGAGGTCTCGCCAGATTGCCCAGGTTGGTCTCGAAACCCCCAGGCTCTGGCAAACCACTCGCCTCAGCCTCCCAAAGTGCTGGGATGACAGACTGAGTCATCAAACCTGGCCTGTAACTTACTTTTAAATGGTTCAGAAAAGTCTGTGTCAATGCATAGAGAGAGTGACAATACCTGGACAATTCTGGGGAAGGGTACATGGGCATTTCTTGTGCTATTTCTGCAGCTTTTTATACATTTGAAAAGTCTTCAAATAAAAAAGGCACAGGAAGCACGGGTTTTTGGAGCGCCATCTGTCACTGTGGCGTGTTGGATCAATTTTGCTTTACTCCATGAAAGGATCGGCGTCCAGTTTGCAAAATAAGCAAATCCCGTCTCTCCAGCTTCATGCTCGGTGTCTGGCTTTGGCTCAGGCAGTTTCTGCTATCTGCAGTGCCTTTCTTCTTCTTTCTGCCTACCTGGCTCCTGTCTGTTCTTCAGAGCCCGATTTGAGCCCACCTCCTCCATGAAGTCTTCCTGAACGGCTCCAGCGCTCCGTGCTTATTCCTCAAAGCTATCAAGGCAGTTTCACGTGTTTGTATATGACAGTCATGAATGCTATTGCCAAATATTTCTAGCTTTTTAATCTATGGTGAATCAGGTAGGACTATACTTCCTGGCCTTTGGATGGAGTCATGTGACCAGTTTTGGCCAATGAGTTACGAGCAGAAAGGTGCGTGGCCTCAGAGCTAAGGCCACCTTTTTATCTTCCGTGGTGACCAGCAATGTTCCAGTGGTGACTGACTGTTCCATTAGCCTGAGTCACAGGATGGCCCGGCATGAGCAGAGCCACTAACTGGTTTGCATAGAACATGTAGCAAAACCAAGAAGCAGACCTTTGTTCTTTGAAGCCCTGGGAACCTGGAGTTGACAGTTCTCTTAGGTAGCCTATCCTGTCCTCTTCTTATGCACCATGCCTTTACAAAAGCTGTTCCTGGTACTTAGAATGTTCCCTCTCCTTCCGCCTGGCAAGTGTCCTCTAGAGTTAGAAACATCCTTCTAGTCACTGCTTCTATTTGGTCATTTGAGGTGTCAGGTGTTTACTGTATGCCAGGCACCATGCCAAACGCTGGGATTATACAGCCTCAACCCAGCCAAGCCCCTGCCTTCTGGGGGCTTCCATAGGGAAGACACTGAGTGTTTTGGCCTCTGTCTTCCTCCTTTGATATAAGTGCCAAGAGGCCAGAGTTCAGACATACGGTGTTAGTATTTCAGCTCTTGGCACGGAGCAGGAAGCCAGTAACCATTGGCTAAAATACAGAGGTGCACGCCCTCCTTCGAGCCCACCAGCTGTCCTCCATAATACTCATGTGCCGAGTTCATACGTTTGTTCATTACTCCTGCTTTGTCTCCCTCCCTGGATTGTGGGTCTGCCAGTGGGAGGCTGTGTGGTATTGTTGTGTACCTGTGTCAGGGCTGCTGGTCCAGGGAGGCCATGACATGAGCCGGTTTTAGGCAGCAGATGTCTGTGGGATGGGTCCCACTCAAGCTCCTGGGAACGGAGATGAGGGTGTCATGAACTCATTCCAGCAACGTGGCGACTTGTGCAGAAGAGGGAGAACAGGTCACACTGAGATGGAGGTTTTCTCTCTTCAGGTGCTGTTACTGTGTCGTGGGCTTGTCCTTTGGCAAAAGCAGGGGACAGGAGATGGAGTCCTAGGTCTAGCCTCGGTGACTGTTGGTCATTGGACTGGTTCCTTCCCTTTTCTGGGCCATGTCTGCAAGATGGGGAGTAGACCAGAGAATCTTTGCTTCCCTGTTTCTCAAAGGCAGCTATAGTGGGTCCGTGGTGGATAACTTCAGAAAGACCCCAAAAGGACCGCAACTGGGAAGCCTGCTCCCTGGGTATTTAAGAGCAGAGCAGGCAAGAGCAGTGCTGGCGTGGTCCAAGCCATTGCACAGACTGTCCTGTGGCCTGGGCTTCTGGGAACATTTCTGGCATTTGTGGGGAAGGCTCGAATGTGCTATTTTCCAAACGGTGCCACTTCCCAGTCCCAAGAGAAAAGGCCGGCAGAGGAGGGCCGTGCACTCTTACCCCTCCTCTCCTCGTGGTAGAAACACTTCAGTGGGCTCTCTAATGAGCCTGGACCCCTCCCGAAAGCCATGGCTTGTTTGCTTCTCCTGGGAGCCTGGCACTGAGCCCTAAATGATGTCACTGTCTTGTGGACAGGCTCCCCTCCCCCTGCGCCTTAAGTGGCTCACACCACTCGCTTGGGCAGCTCTGCCCCTAACCAGGCTCCCACCCTGGAGATCCTAGCACGTTTTCTCTGTCCCCGTGACTGCTGAGAGCCATGCAAGTAAGCTCAGCTGGTCCTGCGTGAACGCCTCTCCGTCCGGAAAGTTCTCAGGCTCGGTGAAGGGGGCTCCTCTGCAGACACTTCATTCACAACTTGTTGCTGGTTGGTATTCCTCTTCCGAGGGAGGAGGGGGTGTGGTTGCAAAATAAATCTTTTTTTTCCCTTCTCCCCAAAGCAATCGTTGTGTTGTAATGCAGGGAGAGCCCGAGCTGATGACATTTTTATGGGGCTGCCTCTGGTGAGGACTGTGGTGTCTGCTTGGACCATCCAGCGCGTCCGCAGATCTCTTTCTGCCTCCCTGGGCCACCCCCCACCCCCTCCTCTCATGGCAATACAACTCCAGTTCAATACTTGTCTAGAATTCTCAGTGGGCTACCTAGGCTCTTGGGGGCGGGGGCGGGGAAGATGACATCACATCCTCGCCCGCGGATTGGCTGCTCACTGGCTTCAGGAATGATATCATCCGTGCCCTGGCCTCCCTGCCCCCTCCACTTCCAGGCCTTTCCTGGCCCAGCGAGGCCCGCTCCCCAGCACCCCACCCCGGGATGCCCTGTTGCCTTGGAGACCACAGTCTTCCACCTCGTTGTCTGAAGGAATGGTAATTCGTTTTCTGTGTGACGTGGGGTGAAGGGTGCAGGGAGGGAGACCCGGGCTGGACGGTTGGGAGGGAATGTTGTGGACCACAAAATCATGAACAAAAATATGTTTCACGCATGAGAAGCTGTCAGAGATGGCAGTGAGGGAGAGGTCATGGCAAACGGTGTTGGTGGCATGGAAAACTGGAGATTTACAGAAAAAAAAAACAAAAAACAAGGAGTGGCCAAGATATTGTGGAAAATAACCACCCCCTTCCCGAGACAGCTCATTAGGGAGATTTTAGGGGGAGACTTGCAGGGGGTGGGGGGCTGCTGTGTTATCTTAGGAGCAGAGGTCATCCCTCTCTCCCCTCTCCCCAGATGTAGCTGCCGAGACAACGCTCCCAGCAAACTTTTCTTGAAAAAATGAGCCAGACAAAGATCCACCCACCTCCATAAACAAAGAGCATGGGTGTCTCCCAGAATGGAGCACCAGTTCCTTAGTTTGTATCCCTAGGAGGCCAAGGCGGAAGGGAAGACTTGCCCACTGAGGCTGTGTGCTGCATGTGTCTGTACCTGGTGTGTTTCCACGATCTGCTGATTAACTTGCATACATCGATCATACCCACTAAGGAATATTTCAACCCCGACTTCCCTGGCACAAGTTACAGGCAGCAGCACACAAATTCCCCCAGGGTCCTGTCCTGCCTTCCCTACCTCTTGTCTCTCCCCGAGGGACTTAACTGCTCTCCATGTGCCGTTGATATGTGTCTATGTGTTGTATTCCTCTATGTTTTTTCAATGCTGTTTTCTTGTCTGGGACAGTCTTTAGACTGAGGAATTCGAGATTTGAAGTTTCGGACATTGGCAGGGCATCCTGGCAGGGATGCTGCTTCTGTGGGTCGCTCACATGTCTACCCCAAACCTCTAATTGCTGTCTCTTCTTGCCTCTTGCAGGTTGCCTCTGAGGCTGTCACAGGGAATTCTAAATCTACAGCTCTCCGATTAAAAGGAAAATAAGAACACGGGAAAAAGAGATGTTAAAGATGTGTCAGCGCCTACCTGAGGGTTGACACACTAAGGCAGAGTCTGTAGATTCATTTTAGGAACAGATTGTTCTGTGATTGTGTGCAGAGACTGGCACATGTTTTCCCTGTGTCTATAATATACTAACAACTCAATAAAAGTTGGCTGTTATCTTCTTGTTTATTCTCACAGATTTTTGTCAGCTAAAAATGTGTTGTCAAATACTAACTAAAAAGGAATGGAAGCTATATATACTATATGCACACACATACGTATAGACATGAATATATATATATATATACATACATACACACACATACATATACATATGTGAATCTCTGTGTGTGATTACATTTCCTTATTTCTGGTTTTGAAGCTTGCAAATGTTTTACAGTGAGTAGGTATGACAAATAAAATCAGAGGGAAAAAGTTATTTTAAAAAGTCGGTCATTGGGCAGGATGTTCCAGAGGGAAGATGAATGTGGCTTCCAAGATGAAGTAACCGGATGTCTGTCAACTCAGAGAAAACAAGGTATGCGTTTGTCCCCTGTGGGGTGGTGACACGAACATCTCTGGAGTCCTGTGGCTTCTCTTCATTCTGCCTTGGCCTAATTTCTCAGCTTTAAATGGGAAGCGAAATCTCTGAGTACTGGGACTGGAGGTGATCTTTGGTAGCCTTTTCCCGTGTCCACTGAAAAGTGGATATTAATCCAAGATTTCCACAAGCTGTCACCTTAGAATCCACATGCCCCAAGCTAAAGTTATAATTTCCCCAAACCGTCTCCGGCTACCCCTTAAAAGTTTCTGTGTCTGCCCCCCGATCCACTATTTTTATCCAAGCGAGAAGATTTGGAGTTGTTTTTTATTGATCTGTGTATGCCAGTCTCCATGAGAGTCATCAAGAACAGTCCATGTTTTCCTCTAAGTGTGTCAACATATTTATCCTTTCCACCTTCCTTCTGTTCTCATCCAAGTCATTTCCTTCAAATTCTAGCTAAGGTGACTTCTCCTTCCTGAATATTTCCTTAATCATTCCTGTCTTTGCTAATAAACATCTAACCTGAATATCAACAGTATAAACCACCCACCTTGGACCATGCAGCCTGGGATTGTTTGGGGGCTTAGACTTGGCTTCCTGGCTAGACCACATGACTCTGGAGAGCAGGCCTTAGGAAGGTCACATAGTAGGGACTCAATACAACTTGGTTAGGTGAGAGGAAGCCACTTCCTCTCTTGACAAACCGCATTGCTATTTTGCCCTGTTCCCTTCATAGATGTCCGCTCAGATACCTGACTGAAAGCCTACTATTTAATGTGAGCTAGCTTTTCTCTTCCTTTCCTAGTCTAATTTCCCATGTGTATTTGTCCTTAAAGATATTGATGAACTCTACCTTTAGAGCTTAGTTATTCTCCTCATAAGTAGTTCCACATTCTCTTAACTGATTTAAAAGGTGGGGTGGTTCAGTGTTTAAGAGAGTGGATCGTAGTGTAGACTACTTAGATCTGGGCACCCCATGTGGTAACCACTAGCCACATGCATCCGTGTCAATTTAAATACATTATTATAGTTCATTATCATTAAAAATTAAGTTCCTGTCTCACATCAGACACTTTTCAAGGGTCCAATAGCTATGTGTGGCCTGTGACTTCCTTGTCGATGAGCAAAGATACAGGACATATCTATTGCCACAGAAAGTCCCAATGGACAGGGAAGTCCAGACCTTAAGCAGAGTACTGTGTTTTACTTTCTGGGCCAATTTCCTCATCCTTCTCTATGTCCTCAAGTTGTTTGAGCCTTAAATGAGTTAATACACACGAAACACTTGGAATAGCATCTAGATCATAATCTTTACTCAATTGTAGCTAGCGGTTGGGGTCTACACCAGTCCGGGGTTCCAGCTACTGCTTCATCTCGGTAACCCCATCGTGGGTCTATACCACATTTTTTGCAGCAGCATTCTTACCTGCCCAGGGTCTTCTTTGCTCTCCCTGAAAGGACAGCATCAGCTGACGAGAACGTATTCCTGGGGCCCACCTTCTTACTCACTGACATACAGATCACTGTATAAAATCATATGTGCCCCTTGGAAGAAAGAAGCCCTCCGTATAGAAGCTGGGAAGGGGCCGAGAGGTTGGCAGTGGTGTCTTCCAGGCTGGGTTCCTTGTCTCGGCCACCACCAGGCCAGGGAAGGCTCTGTTTTCTCCCTGGGATCTGGGGCAGCGAGTGGAGAAGCTGGAATGATGTTTAATCAGCTTGAGCATTCTTCACTGGTGACCTAATGAGCCAGCATGACTAAATGACCATTAGACGGAATGTTTGTGTGAACTGCAATAGAAAAGTTCCTCTAAACTTCCTGAAAAGGAAGATAATATATCTAAATAGCTTCCTGTCTCTCCACTGCCAAGCAGCAGCCGCAGCAGCGGCAAAATAGATTTTCCAGCAGGGAAATATTTAGCACGTTGGGTGCGCTCAAGCCCCTCCCTGTTTGGGAGAGCGGACCCAGCAGGAACCCAGCAGGGAGTGAGCAGGCCATGAGGCCCTCCCAGATGCCCACGATGCTTGCCGAGAGGTTTGGCAATTGGCTTCTGGGATTAGGAAGGCATAGGGTTGGGATGGGATGGAGGGTATCAAGGGGCACGGGACAGAGACCAGGTGACAGTTCAGGCTGTCATTGCTCACCTGGACACGGTGTCATCAGGGCCTGGAGCAGTCTTTGCCGTAGTTCTAAGAAACCTCAGTGCATGTTTTAGCAGGAAAGGGAAGAACAAATTGCTTCCTGCCTGCCAGATTGCTTCCAAGCCCCTATGCGTGTGTCCACGGAAGACCATTTTGTTGCTGCTAAAAATATGTGTGGGGCTTTACTTTAAATGGAAACTGCTGGCTGGGCTTGGCTCAGCCTGTCATCCCAGCACTTTGGGAGGCCGAGGTGAGTGGATTGGCTGAGCCGTGGGTTCGAAACCAGCCCGGGCAAATTGGTGAGACCTCAACTCTACAATAAATAATAATAACAAAATTAACTGGGTGTGGTAGCACACACCTCTAGTTCCAGCTACTTGGAAGGCTAAGGTGGAAGGATCGTCAGAGCTCAACTGGTTGACCCTGGGGTGGCTGTGGGTGTGCCATGGCACTCCAGGCTGGATGACAGAGTGAGACTCCAACTCAAAAAAAAAAAAAAAAAGAGAGAGGGAGAGAAAACTGCTACTTAACACAGTCAAACCACATGGCAGAATCCAGAAAAGGCCCTCTTCCTATTTGTCACGGCTGGAAAAAACAAAGCTTTCTCAGAAGGTCACATTGCGTGTCTCTTAAGCCCCACCCCCTGGAGTTTGCAGTGGGGTGAGGGAGGGAGGGAGAGGGAGGAAGAAACACAGGGTGCACCTGTCTGTGCTGCCCTTGCTGGGGTGTCCCCGGGGACCAGCTCCTGCAGAGTTAGCCGTCCGTCTGTGGGCTCAGCCTTGCAGAGATGTCTCAGGTGGGAGCTTGAGACATCTCCACACCCTCCCTGGCATCCTTTCTCCCCTTCTCTGAACACAGGCTCCACGGGCCCATTAGCAGCTGTTCTTGAGATCTAGACCCGAGGTTGGCACATTTTTTCTTAAAGGGACAGAAAGTGACTAACTTAGGCTTTGTAGGCCAAGAGACAGAATAGAAGACATTATGTAGGTACTAATACAACCATTTTAAAAGTAAAAAATAAACCTTTTTAACTTCGGGGCCTTACAGAAGCAGGTGGTGGGCTGGACTTGGCCTGTAGACGCGTCATTTGCTGACCTCTGATGTAAGTTGTAGACTGAGGAGTCATTGCTGTCTCACAGATGGGGAATAGTCATGGAGAAGTTGCTATGTGCCGGTTGCTGGGCACATAGAGGAAGAAGAAAACAGCAGAGTCAAACACGAGCTGCATTTTTTCTGATAGTTCACTTTCTAATAGGAAGACAGATTTACGACAAGATCATTCTAATACAAGATTGCTGGTAAGTGCATGGGTACAGATGTTCGTGGGTATGAAGTTCCAGAAGAGCATCCAGCCCAGCTGTGGTATGTGGTGTGTGTGTGTGTGTGTGTGTGTGTGTGTGTGTGTGTGTGTGAGAGAGAGAGAGAGCTTTCTTAATTGTCTTTAGCAGGAAAGCTAATCTTAATTAACTAGTCTACCTTTCCCAGAAGTGGAAGTTCCATACCCAGAATCATCACAATCATCACCTCAATTAATCTGTGGCCTCTTTACTCCAAGTCCTCTTTTCTTTCCTCTTAATCTACATCACTACCCAGATGGTATCCCTTTTAATCCATCCTCATTCTGCTTCTGAGTCTGTCATG